AACTTAGCTTCTCTCCAAAGAACTCCAGTTGCTATCTTACTGCTAAAGGGAAAAGCCACTTATTCTCACAGAACAGTCCAGCAAAACAAATCTCACTTGGAAAGACCGATATCCTTCAATTTCATGTATAATCACGGTCTCTGTGAGTGGTCCTGTAAAACATGGATTGTACTTCGTCTCCAAAATGTTATTCTGACCTGCATTTTGGGGTCCTGCATAGAAATCTTCAAGCCTTGACTCCAGTGGCTCAGTGATTCCTGAACAAGAACAACAAAAGGGCGATGTAAATTCTAAAATGCCAATAATTAAATCTACAATTAGTTAATACTGTGTGACAGCAAAGCCCAAACAAACTTGAAAGTAAGGTCCGTTTGAGAATTAAACTAGACCTCCTTTTCTTACTCTGGAACCATAAGCCCTTCCCACAGCATTCCTGTATTCACAGCTGGGTGTCAGCGGTCAGAAATGCCAGCGCGCGAGTCACATCTTCCCTGAGGCTCTCACTCTCCAAGCTGAGCAAGCTGCCGCTTTAACATCAGCACACGAATCTCATAACATATGGAAAGCATTCCAGTGCTAACCCTCCACAGATATAAATGACTAACCCATTTTACTAGTCCAGGGGTAAGTACACTGCCATTACTGCCCTACCTTCCTTCAGGTGGCTTACCGCACCAACTCCAAAGAAAAGCATATAAAAGGACATTCACCCAAATTTTCATGCCACAAATAAGTGACTCTTTAATCTTGGTTAACAACCCTCACCATGACTAATACCCTCCATATGTGCCTGGCTTTACAGTGTACAAAACAATTCAGCAGTCACTTTACCGCATTTAACGACACCATCTATCAACAGTGCCCTCACCTTTTTGGTAGATGTACCTTTCTCCTCGGGGGGCACAGAGCATTGGCTTGGATTGCTCCTAGGTTCCTTCCCTGGCCCAGAGGCAGCTACTTGAGCAGCACTGCTTTCTATAGAATCACTGCTGCCTGACCTCTTTCTCTTCCTGTGCGTTCCTAGGCCAGGGCTCTTTGACTCTTCCTCAAATTCTATAATATATGGATAAAGTTCATTCACCAGGTGGAGAACCTGGCCAGGCTGCAGTTTCATCTCTTGGTCCTTCCCAATTATGACGGAGTCAATACTGGTGGGATTGACCCCTACCTACGGAATAATCAGAAAAAAATTATAGTAACAGCAATAACACGTTAGTAATACAGTTGCCAATATGTCAACCACTTACTGTGTGAAATGTTCAGCTGTATTACTCCATCACTTCCACACATAACAGAGAAGCCTTTACTGGCTAGCACAGACATTCTGAAGGCAGCACAAAAAAACAAGTACAAAAAGGAAATTCAAGTTATCCACATACCTGCTTTACTTTGACATATCCCTTGTTACACTCTGCTTTCAACTGTACTGAAAGAGATTGAAAAAATTTAAACAAATGCAGCAAAAGCCAGACATTTGGTCTTGTCTTCCCTAAAGGACAATGAAGCTATACAGATCTTCCCTCAAAGAGCTAGGAGCAATTGCCTGATATGCAGGTGGCTGGGGCTACAAATGCCATTTTGTCAGAGCTCCAAATGCTTCCCTAAACTAACCATCAGCATACGTACTCCCTTAGCAATTGCTAATACCCTCCAAGTTTCCCTCTTACAGAACTCCTGGCCCACTTAGGGTTACAGACTCGCCCAACAGGAATGCAAGCTCCTGGCTCAGGATTAAATCAGGCTTCCACTATTAAAAAACCAACAATCAAGCTGGATGTAGTGCTGTATACCTGCAGTGCCAGCCACCAGCAAGGCTAAGAAATAATCAAGAGTTCAAGACCAGCCAGGGCAATACAGCAAGACCTTATTTCAAAACAAAAACAAAATCAACTATCAGATGCTTTCAACAGAGGAGGTAAAAAAATGTTACTGGAAAACGGAAGTTCAACTGGACTTGAGTGGAAGGAATGGAGAGAATGTTCTAGAAAGAGCAGTGCAGAGACAGAACATTCTGAGCATGTGTGAGAAGAGGTAACATTACTAAGCACTTCTGTTCAGATAAGTGAACAAACTATGTAGGGTTGAGACAGACACCACTGCTGTGTGCCAGGGCGGACAGACAGAGGGCAGGCTGACACATGACCCCACTGTTGCTATAGTGATGAGAGGAACCAAGAAAAGCGGTGGCAGCTTCTACTATGTCTTGGGCCTTTCCAGGTCAAACTTGGCTTTTTTTTTTTGCCTTCCACTTGGACTAATTCACACAGGTAAGCCCATAACCAGTACCACACACTCCAGATCACTAAATCCAGAATCCTCAGAGCTGTGAGATCACATTACAGGTGGCAATGAACGTGCCCAAAGCTTACAAGTAAGAAATGAAGCACTGTACATGATATCAAACCCTATGAAAGGGAACAGTTGGATGCCATAGTCCCATAAAGATATGACCCTCTGTGTGAGGCAATGTTAATGCACACCCCACTGCTCCTCAGACATGGCTCCAGCCTAGAAACTCAGAATTTATCAGTCTTGCTGCCCAGTGAGCCATCTCCCCGGGCAAAGCAACACAAGGTACAGGGCCCACCTCCACCACCCCATTGTAATAGGGTGGGCCCTGCCTGCTCCCAGCACCCTAGGCTGCCCTGAAGGGGAGGACAGAATCAGGGATAAATATGAGGCTCTTGTAGAATAAATGAGGCTCTACTGCTGACTAAAAAGCTGACTTCTTGAACTTGGGGCTATTTTTTGGTGAATAATAGGTCTCTCCCTCAAAAGCACCTGGGAAATGTGTGTATTTGGTTATCACTGTCCAGAACCAAATATGGTAATGTCCACATTCTTATAACCAGTTACCTTGCTGCCGAGAACATTTCTTATCAGTGATCCTGGTCTCCGGACCACGCCCAATCACAACTGCTTCTGAATGTGGAAGTTTGATTCGCTGGTGCCCGCTGTCCTGCCTCACCAACCAGCACACCCGCATCATCACTCTGAAAGACAGAACAAGGAACTGCTAGGAAAACAGGTCCATAAGCCCAAGCCCTCCAGGGCTCGGCTCTGGTGCCACCACCATGTAACTGCCACCACTGCGCACCTTGAGGCGGGTGACTTCACCTCCTTAGTCTCAGCTTCCTAACCTATAAATCTGACAATGACAGGACTCAAGGGGCTGCTGTAAGGGTTAAATGAGATGACATGGGTACATGTTTACCTCCCTGACTGAATCACGCTAAGCAATCAAGTACTTGTTACACATTTATAGGTATACTCTTCGTGTGGGACATTCGTCTACGTGCTGAGTCTCCCAGGGGTGAATACAATATTGTCCCTGTACTTGAGGAATTCGGAGTGTAGTACAGCAGGACACACTCAGATACCAATTATTACCATATAAGCACTATTAAGGAGAGAGTAACAAAATATGGCATTAACCGAGTGACTAATAGCAGCTGAGCAAAGTACTTAAAAAGATTTCATGAGGAAGGGTATTTATGCAGGGCTGAGCTGGGTTGGGTTGGCTTGGGTTTGAGACAGGGCTCTCTATGTACTTCAGCCTGGCCTTGAACTCACTAGGTAACCCAGGCTGGCCTCAAACTCATGCCCAGCCTGCCTCAGCCTCCCCGGGATCACAGGCATGTGTCACCACCTCAGCATTATGCAAGGTTGAAAAAGATGGGAAGGAGTTGGCCTACCAGAGAATTAGGACATAAGAATAAGATGTTTTGTCAGTTCTTAGGTCTTTTTTTGTGTATTAGGTTTTCCTTTCTTAATGGAAATAACATACTTATTAGAACAATACATTTTACTCCCATCTGCCATAATAAATATGCAAATCTACAATACCTAATGTGTGATTGTGACGCCTTTGTGCAATATGCAAACTGCACAACAGTGGAGGTGTTGATGTGGGGTTTTTCATTGTGTGTCTGTGTGTGTGTGTGTGTGTGTTACTGTGGTTCAATCCCAGGGCCTGGTGCATGCAAGGCAAGACCTCTATCAGTGAGGCACATCCCCACTCTGCTGATGTGCTCCCGAAAGACAATCTTGATGGCCAATAAAGTACCAGAAGAGAAAGAAACAAAGGTTCACAGAAGAGATGCGGCCTGAACAAAGGCAGGAGCAAAGTGCATGGAAAGGAAGAAGAGCCGAGAGAAATCTAGACAACAGATTTAACTTCTCATGACGCGTGGGGAATGACAGGACGAAAGGGAGACTGCAGACAAAGGTTTCTAATGTGAGAGATACCTATTAACCAAAATGAAGAATACGCAGGACTAAAAAAAATAAGAAATGAACATCAAGGAAGACATATTTTATAGATAGCAGTGAAGAAAGACCAATTTCAGTGAAACACAGTTAGTTTAAGTTGCCTGTGGAAGAACCAAGAGTCAATCTGGGATACAGGTATGAAGCTCAGGAAAAAGGAACGGACTGAATGCACTTATTTGAGAGGTGTCGATATGTCACAGAAGCTGAGGCAAGGAGAGGATAAAAAGAACTATCCTCTTATCCAAGAAGATAGAAAAGGTAATTACTGTTTGAGCAAGAAGTGCCTCCCTAGATTGCAGGATCCTATCAATGCGCAGGCTTCTAACACCCCCTGTTACAGCTTGTATCTCGATGTTCCCCAACCTCTTGCACTCAGCAGTGGGGCTTCTGGGAGTAACCGGATGAATGTGCGGTATTAGGTCAGTCCACTGATTGGTTTAGCATAGTTCTGGGTGCAGGTGATAAATTTACTAAAGAGGGAAAACCCACCCTGGTTATGGGTGGCACCTACCAGCAGGTTTGGAGCCTGGAAGGAACAGAAAGGGAAGGAAGTCTTGCTGCCTCCTGCTTGCCACATCATGAATTGTTTCTCTTCTGCCATGCTACCCTGCCTTGGAGCCAGCTGACAACCGACTAAAACCTTTACAAACTATGAACTAGAATAAATCTTTCCTCCTTTAACTTGTGGGGGTCAGGTGTTTTGACTCTCCAATGAGGAAGTAACTAAGACACCTCAGGAACATGCTGCCTACAGTTAAAACAGCATTTATGCCCTCTGTATGAGCTTTGTGTTCATAAACAAAGAAAGAAGAAAACGTATTTTTCAAAGTCAGCTTCATTACTCTCTGCAAAGACAAGACACTATAAAGCAGAGTGAACAGATGAAAGCTGAAGAGATAGGAACTGCATTAGTGTAAGCACATAAAAACTAAAGTTCTGTATTAGTCAGGAAAGGCTTCCAGAAACCACAGTTAGAGAAGGCCAGGGGCCAAGGGAACGGCTAAGGAGAGAAAGGAAGAGGGTGCGTTTCATTTTTCAAAGCACAAGTGCCGGCACTCAGCAATGGCAAGCCATAGGTCAGAGTAAAAAGCAGATTTCACTGGCTACAGCAGAGGGGCTGCCCCAGTCAGCACAAGACTGAAAAATGTAGATTCAACATCATCAACAGGAGACAACTGCCAAGGTTTTGTGCTTCAAAATAAGATGAAATAACAGAAGTCAAAGAACACTTTGTCAACAACTGTGTGTGGGCCAGCTGGAGTGAGGAAAGCTAGAGCCAGAGCCCAGTCAGAAGGCTGTCAAAGTAACCCAGGCCAGAGGCCCCAGATCAGCTCAGCAAGGCTGAGAAGCTGATGCAAGAGCACGGAGGGCCAGCTGTACACCTAAAATCCTACACCAAGATCCCCAAACGATGGTGCTACAGGCAGACCCTAATTTGACCTGCTGTGTTCCAAAGGGTACCTGTTAGCACTTGCCAGAAATTGATACGTGGTCAGGTAATGGACTAAAAAGTGATGTGAGTCTTCACTGGGCATTGGGAAATCGTCATGTGGCGCCTATTCATGCTGACAACACGAGAAGCCAGCGGACAGCCGTCTGAGAGCAGGGACAAGGTGAACTGACAGACAGCCAGGAGCACAGCTGGCTATCGCAGGATGGCAGCAGCCTCCTGGCCTCTGCAGATACGATACAGACTTCATTCTCCCCAAGTTCTGAAGTCATGATGTTCCCATTTTCTATTCCAAAAGCTGATGCGATGACTGCACAATGCTTACGCAACTGTTACAGCCCATTTTAGCTTCCAGACCCAACTTCCAGGAATGAAGTTTTAGAATACGGAGAATGCAGGGTGGATGTTTTGAATCTTCAATCCAGTTCTTCCAGTTAAACTCCATAAACTCCAATTAAACTCCGCTCTCTATAATAGCAGAAATTGTGCCTATTTTTTAATACTATTTTCAACCAGTTTTGATTTTTTGTTTATTCCTTTTTTCGAAGGGTATTGCTGTGTAGTTCAGGCTGGCCTTGAACTATGAAGCCCAGACTAGCCTCAGTGACTGTCCTGCCTCAGCCTCCCGAGTGCTGGGATTCCAGGTGTGTGCCACCACACCTGGTCATCATGCCTGTTTTTGTTCACCAATGTATCACCAGTATCTACTACAATGCTTGGCATATAGCAAGCATAAATATTTGCAAGTGAATGATCAGATAACCCCTCCCAAGTGTTCTTGTGTTTCTCTATCTCCCCTCCTTCTCTGGCTTTTCTTCTAGTGGCAGAACACTCTGCTCATATGGGGTTCCCCCGAGAGAGCTCGGGATTTGCCAGCCTCTATTTTTCAGCTCCATATCTTCCACTGCAGAGTTGTGGGGATTAATCGGAAAGAAATTCTGAGCCAGGCACAGTACTGCACACTTGTAATGTCAGGACTCGAAAGGCTGCGGCAAGAGGACTGCCATGAGTCTGAGGCCAGCCTGGGCTACAGAGTGAGTTCAAGGCCAGCCTGAACTACATAGTGAGACCCTGCCTCAAAGAACCCAAGTGATGTAACAGCCCACACAAGGCCAAAAATCTTGTATCCTAGAACACTGCTCTTTAACTGGATTTCCTGCAATGATAGAACTGTTCTAAACCTGCCCATCCAAGTAAATCAGCCCCAGTGTGATGATGGACCATATAAAATGTAGTTAGTACAAAAGAGGAACTGAATTTTTACGTTAGGTTTTTTTTCCACTTAAGGTAACATAGCTACACGTGGCTGGGGGCTGCCCGGAATATCTAGCATACCCTAGAAACTTGTCCAGCCCCTATCAATCCCCAGACCCCTCAGGTTTGAAGTTAAGACCCTCAGACTGTAGCCCTCCCAAGGTGACTTGTTTCACTTCCCTCTCTCTTTGCACAAAAACTGCCCCACTTACCCATTCCTCTCTTCCCTTCCCCCAGGCACACATGCATCCTTGCATACACATACATCCGTCAGGTACGTACCAAATCATGTCTCCCAGCGAAGTAATCCTTTTCTTTCTTTTCCTGCAGAGAAGGGATTAAACCCAGAGCCTTCACGCTGAGCTACATCCCTACATCCCCAGTGCTTTTCTTCTTGAGAAAGGGTCTCACTAAACTACTCGGGTTGGGCTCAAACTTGTGACAGTCCTGCCTATACCACCCAGAGTGATGGGATTAGAGGCAAGCACCACCACACCCAACTAAGCCACTCCTAATTTGGTCTCCTGGTGTTGGTTTAGTTTTTCCGCCTTCCTAAAAACCCAAATCTTAGTCAACTTTCAAGTTTCACCTCCTCCCTGAGGCCTTCACCGAGCCACTTCTCTTCTATACATCTTGTTATTGGATGTGGCGGAACTACCTTCACAGTTCTGAGTCCTTAATGTGGATTCAACTCTATTTTCCAAAGGAGATTATAATCTTGGGAACAGACCATATCACTGCCTACCTATTCAGGAAGCATGGAGGAAGGGTCTCTGGAGATCCCTTGAGCTAGACCTGGTCTTGTACTCCAGGCTCCTCAGATATTCAGCATGTGTATGAAGTGAATACTACATCATAGGCGCTGTGCTCAATGTCTCACACTGTCTCATTTTAATACTCACAATTTTCATTCTAAGGAAGAGAAAGTTAAGGCTCAAATAAGTTAAGGAACACGTTCCACTCACGCGGCCAATGTGTGCCACAGGTAGGATTTGAATTAATTTCAAACAATGGGCTCTTAACCACTGCACCATATACTTTTTGGCTTCACTCAGTTGATCATTCAATCACAATTACTGCATTCCTATTATGTGCCTTGTGCTATTCTTATACTGGGAATTAAGATGTAATGCACAACCAGGTGTGGTGGTGCGTATCTGTAATCCCAGCGCTTAGGAGGCTGAGGCAAGAGGATCGTCATGAGTTGGGGCTACATAATGAATTCAGGGCCAGTCTGAACTACATAGCAAGACCCTGTCTCCAAAAAAAAAAAAAGATAATACAGACACCCTCCTTTCAAAAGACTCAAGAGTCTAAGAGAGGAAACTGACACAAAAACTATAATAAATGTATAACAACTAGACTGTAAGAGGTATGAGCAAGATCGAAAAGCAGCAAAGGGATCCAGTAATGACTGAAAAATGTCTATGTGGTTTGATATTCAATCACTGGTAACTTCACTGAAATTGTCAGAAAATTATGAGTCTTAAAGCTAGACTGCAGAAGGAAATGGGAGGTAAGAAAATGGGGACAGAATTTAGAATACTCTTCAAAATAGTCTGGTAACAAGAGGAAGAGATTTACCAGAAGACAGCAAAAGGAAGGTGGATCACCAAAGACTTCTTTCTTTGGTTGAGACAGACGTGTTAAGGAAGATCTGAGAAACTGACCGTATATTTTCATCAATGCAGCACAGACAGAAAGGGGCAGAAATGATGAATGAAAATAAGGTTTCATAAGTGAAACCATAAAATAAAGGTCAGAAGCAAAAATAAAGGGATGTGCTTTGATCAGAGGGACAACGTACCCTCTTCAGAATAAAGGAAAATTAAGATGAGTGAAATCCAAATAACTTTTTTTACAGGAAATCAATTTTAGTGTTTCTTCCATTCCATATCATCAGGAAAAATTATTTCAACCTTCCTTTTAGCTACATCAGACCACTCAGATGTTTGTTTTCTCTAAGGAAAGCAGAGGCAGAAAGTGGAGGGAAAGCATGTCCCATGTCCTTAATGTTCTCCACAGAACAACAGGTAATAGAATGATGTGCTCCATCATTAATAGAAGTTAATAAACAGCTGAAGAAAATCAAAAGAGTGGTGGGACTCAAGTCCTCTTAAATTGGGCTGCTTGAATTAAGTTCGACTCCGCCACCTACTCACTGTGTAACCTAAAGCAAGTTATCTAGTCTCAACTCCAGTATCACTGCCGTTAATAGACAGGATTAAAGCAGGAGCTGCTGACACGTTAAACAACACTGAAAAGTGAGGACTGCCACTAAGGCGAAGGGGCACAGATCTGTGCCTTCTACCTACAAAAACAACCCTATCTCAAGCGCTCTATGAAATTCCCAATGTAAGTCAAATTCCCAAAGGGCTCCAAACCTATACACCACATTAGTTCCAAGGGGAACAGAATTCCAAACACCCTTTTTTGTCGAACTGCTCCCACTGATCTCTATGGGGAAAGGCTCGCTTCCTCTGGCATTCCCGTAAGTTCAAAGGGGAAGGGGAACAAGGAATGGAGCAAGGGGAAGGGACAGAAGAAAAGGAAAAAAAAGAATAGAAGGAAAAAATGGAAACAAAGCTTTTTTGTAAAAGGGAGGGGAAGAAAGGTTGAAGGGAGGAGAATGCGGGTCAACAAAAATCAAGATATGTTATGTACAGGTACAAATTCCCTACGATAAATGGGATCAACACACCTGACAAACATTTACAAATAAAAACATAAAAGACTTGTTGACGCCGTGAAGGAGGCCTCCGATTCCTCTCATGGGACGTTTCCGGCGCAAACACCGTCACTAGCACAGGATGCGCTGCCGCCTGGGGGCGGGTTGCTTGCTTGCGTTACGACCAAGCTAAGCACTAGTTCTGAACTCGGACGCCAGAGGCCACGTGAGCGCCAGCTGAAACACGCCCACGGGAGCAGGGGACCATGCCGAGAAAGGACCGTGAGCGCGTCATTCCAGGCACGTCCCTCACGGATACCAGCGGCCCGGGCCTAACGCCCACCCTGGCTTTCAACCCAGACGGCCAACAGTCGAGGCAGGCGGACCACTGCCTTACCTCGAGATGGCTGATCCGTACACTCTCGTTAGTCCATCTGTGCTTCATCTCTTCTTCCGGCGCCTCCGGATGACGTCACGATGCGTCTCGGGGCGCGGCCAGTGACGTCACCAATGCATTCCCCGAGGATTGGCTAAAACCATCGGCCCTTGTTGGTCCCACACTAACCCGAGCTCAATTCCTGATGGTTGCCTCCGCCTAAGGCGCCTTCCGCTTCTCCCTACGTAGCGGCTGCTCGCCTGTCTGCCTCTCAGTCTGAGTGGGGAGACATGAGACAATAATCTCCTGTGGCCTTTCTGCGCAGCCCTGCAGCTTCGTGACGTCTCCTAAGAAGAGGCTTACTACATTTCAGACATCTTTTAAACTGCAGCTGGGAACTGCGGGAAGAATGCCGCTTCTTTCCAAACTAGAGTCAGCTTCCCTTGCTTCATGGGGAGGGAAAGTCGGGGGAGGAAAGCAGCAGAGCGAAGCGTGCCAAGCTTGCTTTAATGCTGTCGTCACTTAATGAACTGGGGGACAATCGAGGAGAAAAGAAAAAGGAGGCCGCAGTGAGGTGTGTGTACTGATTTTACAGCAATTCCGGGGCGTTTTACTAATAACTGTGTTGCAGTTATTCAAAGGCATCTTTTCATCCTGACGAATGAAATCGTAATACAGAATTTTCCTCAGACGCAAAGGAAACAGCTTAGGGAGTCCCGTATCTTGATCAAAATGGAATAGTGTTTCCTTCCTTGGAAAAGCGGAGGCTCCAATATATGATGGAGCTATCGTAGCTATCAAAGGGTAGGAGGCTCCTCTAGGAAACAGAGAGAGACTTACTTCTGTTAGCAGGGAAGGTGCAAGTTTATATTGGGATCCCACCAAGAAGTGAGGAAACATAGGAAGCATCTCAGCAGCCACACAACCACATGGCTGAGGAATGTGGTTCACAACTGCATAAGACGCATTTCCAGTGACCTAACCCGTTTTGTCTTTCCCTCAGAATTAAGCTTCTTTTAGATCCTGCTTCTACTTGGCCTTTCCTTATATGTCTTGCATCTAAAAATTCGATTGGATCATTTTAACTGTATTACATTTAATATGCAAAATCGAGTAGTTTTTATGTGTGGCTGGTTAAGTCTAGCCCATTGTTTATAGTGTATCATTTACCACAAAAGTAAGGTCACATGGCACAAGGCACAAGGCAGGCAGTTAAGACTTTCACTGACTTCAAACCGAGCGTAGTGGTTTATGCCTGTAATCCCATCATTTGGGAGGTTGAGACAGGAGGATTACTGTGAGTTTAAACCAGCTTGGGTACATAGTGAGTTCAAGGCCAGCCTGAACTACATAGCGAGACCTTGTCTCAAAAAGAAATTTTCAAGACTCACTGATTTCATACTGTTGTGCAAATAATCTCCAGAGCTCTTTCAGCTTGTAAAATTAAACTCTTACCAGTTAAACAACTCCTTATTTCCCCTCCCCTATCCCTGACATCCCCACTATCCTATTTTCCGTTTCCATGAGCTTGACCACTACAAAGTTCATCTCAGTAAACTCACCCAATATTTGCCTTTTTGTGACTAGTTTATCTCACTTAGTATAATGTCCTTAAATTTACAGTTTCAGACACTATAGGATGTGTCAGAACTCCTTTTTTTCTTTTTTGTGGTACTGAGGCTCTCACACATGCTAGGCAAGCACTCTAGTGCTGAGTTACATCCCCAGTCCTTTTTCTTTATTTTGAGCCCAAGTGTTGGTAAGTTGCCCAGGTTGGCCTTCAGTTTCTGAACCTCCTGCCTCAGCCTCCCGAGTAGCTGGGATCACGGGTGTGTGACAGCACAAGTGGTTAAAACCTCCCTTTTAAGTGTGAATAATACTGCATTGCCCAGGTATATTGTAAATAATATTTTTTAATGGACATACAAGTACCATTTAAAAACCTTGCTTTTCAATTATGCTGGATGTACACACAGAAGTGGGATTTCTGGGTTATATGATAATTCTATTTTTAATACCTTGAAGAACTGTTATAATATTTTTCACAGCAGTTGTCATTTTACATTCCCACCAATAGTGTGCAAGGGCTCCAATTTTCCACTTACTTGCTAATACGTGTTACTTTGGGTTTTGTTTGGTTGGTTGGTTTTGTTTTAGGTTTGGTTTGGTTTGGTTTTGGGTTGGGTTTGTTTAGTTTTGACACTGGCCATTCTCGCCCTCAATGAGGTATATCTCACTGTGGATTTAATGGGTTAGGGGACTATTTTATTGGTTGGTTAGTTGTTTTTATTTTTTTTGTGTGTAGCCCAGGCTAACCTTGAGCTCCAGATCCTCCTGCCTCAGCCTCCCAAATGTTGGGACTATAGGCATGAGCTGCCATGCCCAGCTCTCACTGTGGTTTTGATTTCCATTTCCCTATTGATTAGTGTTGATCTTTTTATATGCTCCTTCTCCACTTGTATATCTTCTTAAAGAAATGTCCGTTCAAGCCCTTTGCTTATTTTTTAATAAGCTGTGTTTGTTGCTGCTGCTGCTGTTGTTGCTGTTGTTGTGTTAGTAGTTCTTTACATATTCTGGATATTAACTTCTGATCGGATATAAGATTTGCAAATATTTTCTCCCATTTTTAGGTTACCTTTTCACTGTGTTGATAGTATCCTTAGATACACAGGATTTTTTATTTTTATGTGCTCTGACTTATCTATAATTTTGCCATCTGTGTTTTTGGTATCATAACCAAAACATCATTGCCAAAACTGACCTAAACTTTTCTATTTTTTCTAAAAATGGTATAATTTAGGTTTTTGATTCATTTCATTTTTTTATACTGTGTAAGGGTCCAACTTCATTCTTTTGAATGTGGATGTCCAGTTTTCCCAATACCATTTGTTTTTTTTTTGTTGTGTTTTTTTTTTTTTTTTTTTTGGTTTTTCTCCGGTACCGGGAACCGAACTCACGACCTTGCACTTGCCAGTCAGGCACTTTGCCGCTGAGCTAAATCCCCAGCCCCCCAATACCATTTGTTGAAAAGACTACTCTTTCCTCATTGAATGGTCCCATGATTATTGCTGAAAATTATTTGACCATATATGTGAGAATTTAGTTCTGCAATTTCTATTTTACTCCATTGGTCTGTATGTCAGTTTTTTTGCCAGTATCACAATGTTTTGATTACTATAACTTATTATGTTTGAAATCAGCAAAGTGAGATCTCCAACTTTGTTCTTTGGTTTTTTGGGGGTTGTTTTTTTGTTTTTGGTTTTGGTTTTGGTTTTTCTCTGGTACCGGGAACCGAACTCACGACCTTGCGCTTGCCAGGCAGGCGCTTTGCCGCTGAGCTAAATCCCCAGCACCTCGAACTTTGTTCTTTTTCAAATTATTTTGGCTGTTTTCGAGATTCTTAGAGAAATAAGGTAACATGAAAATCTGAATTCCTGGGCTCTTAAAAAAAAATCAATAAACCTAGCAAATTCTGGCAACAAATAGCTAGAATTGTGAATAGCTGACATGTGCTCCTCCAGTTTACCATCGTCTGTGCCCCTTTGCTTATATAACCTGCTGGATTCCCCGAAGGCCCTCTCTTCTTTGAAACTTTGAGACTTCAAGATTCCTGGTCTACAGAAAGAGCAGTTGGAGCCAGAGGACCTGCGTGGTCTAAGGGAAAGCCAGATGGAGCCAGAGGCTGTGGTGGTCTAGCCCAACGACTTGCTCAGACAAAAAGTATGGAGTTCTGGGAGACCCTATAGCTGGGAAAACATGTTTCGTTTTGGTGTTTGGGGAGGTTATATTAGGATTCTCCAGAGAAATGATAGGGTGGGAGGGGTTAAGGAGGGAAGTCAACAAAGGCCTATCTGAGCAAAGGACAATTAGACTGCATCAAACAGATAGAAAGGAACTGGACATGTGAACACTTGATGGAAGAATATTTTAGGTCTATGATCCAAATCAAGGAAAGAAAGTGCAAAAGCAGCACAGCAGGGCTTTTCTTTCAGGCATGATACAAGTTCAAAGGACCTAAAAGTCAAATGGGGTTGGTAGTAAAAGGGAAATGGTGAGGTCTGATCAGAGGCTAGAGAGTAAACTTTTAGGTGCTGTATGTAGGTTCGTTTTTCAGTGAAAACCTTTAGAGAGTCGGCTGGGCTTTATGAAAATCACTGTGGCTACTGTGAGGAAGAATGGACTGCAGAGGAGGCCAGGATCAGAAAGGCTGAGACCAGTTAGACTTCACTGATAAAGTGTAAATGATGTTGGCAGCATGAACAGAGGGAGAAACTTGAACTGACTCAAGTGAGATTTTGGAGGCAGCATCTGTTGGACAAGACAAAACATTCTTCATAGGCCGAGCGAGGTCCGATGCCAAATCATAAAATTATGTACTGGTAATAGGGCCAATACCTTCTGAAACATAAATTTAGTTGCATGTTTCACATATCCCAAAACTTCTTACTTCAAGAACTGTGATGTTGTCCGCAGGCTTCCTCTGGCTCCAGGAGCCTTCTCTGACCTCATACAAGCTACAAATAAGGGGATTTATGCCTCCTGGGAGCAGTAAAGAAAATGATGCAAGAAAAAAAAAAAAAGAAAGAAAGAAAATGATACAAGGAAGTGAATGGATAAACATTTCCTCACCCCTGATGAACAACTTTGAAGTAGATGTACTAGGCCATCTCCCAGAGGCTCCCAAGCCAGAGCAAGCCCCAGCTGCCCAGAGAGGTCGCCTGCACACTAACCCATCCTGTGGAGGCTGCTTTCCGGTACTTCCCTTCTGCATCCATAAAGATGGATACTTCTTGGAATTACCTCTGACAAACTACTAGTACCCAAATCCTTGTGTCAGTGTCTGCTTCTGGGCAAGCCAAATTAAGGCACTCTACCTGACCATTTTCTAATGATATCATTTTATCTGTTTAGATATGTTAACTCCTATTGCTTTCCAACCTTTTCTGTTGTGGCACAAAGATATAATATTTGCTAAATACAGTG